TAACATATATTTAAAAAAGTGGATTGTATTTATTTTCTTATAATAAGTACCTATACTTTCTACATACATTTTTGTATTTTTGAAAATAATATAACAGTAATAATAAGTAATAACTGTGTACTAGGTACCTACTACCTACCATACAAATTAATTATTTCTTTTGTTTCATTTTTATGAATGCGTTAAATTCTGTGAAATTAAATTGGTAGTTTGTAATAAATATTATTTTGTGTACTAATACAATTAACTGTCTTTGGTAGTATTATTATGATATGAGGAAATGGATTTTCTTACTTACTACTAATTTCCCTATTCTGCATATTATTTTCAATTTGTTATTTGTAATTTTGTGAAATGCCTGGTTACCTATTATTCAAAATATTTAGGAAATGTGTGTAAAAAATCATATTATACAATTCTTTAAAAATCACCAAGTAGTATACAGAATGTCTAGGCATTTCATAAAATATCAATATTATATTCATTGTGGCTAACATTTGAGCTCCGGGTGGCTCATTTAACGTTTTACACTAATAAGTCTTATTATTCAAAAAGTACCAATGTTTTTGAAAATATATTTTTATACTGTTTTAAGTTACAACATGCAGTTTTGATTTCATTTTCGAAAACACAATATTTTTCCGAGTATTTCAATACTTATAAGTCGAATTTAGAATGAGTATAGTTTACGAGTTATAAGTAGGTATTTAAAGTTTTGTTGTGTAGTAACCGCGTACTACTATCGACACTTTGATTAGTTTTAAGATATAACTCATAAACTACAACTACTCATCCTAAATTTGATTATTATGTATTTATATACTAATAAAAAATGTTTTGCTTTGGAATATGAAATTAAAACTGTATTTTGTCATTCAAAAAGAGTAAAAAACTTAAAAAAATGTTAAGCGGATCAGTTACGCGCAGTTATTTTAGCCGAAACATACTAATATGTATTATTACCTTGTAATGCAATAACAATTTTCACAACTGATTTGAATTTGCCATTATGTCTACTTAAGATACAATAAATACTTAAAATAATTCATAGCTATGGGTATAGAATATACCATGTACTATACCACCATGAGACATGTGTTTGAAATTAATAATTATATGTAAACATATTGTGTAGGTATGTAATAATTTATTAATTTGTTGTTTTCAATAATTCGTATAAATTGTATCTGGTTCATGTGTTAAAATATATTGTAAAAGACAATATCTAACTATCTAAGTGTAGCAAGAGTAGATAACTAATTAGCAGATAAGCATATGGTTTTTTTTAAGTATATTGTAGAAAGTTTGTTCAAGCGTAGCGAGAAAATTTTTTTTTTATGTTATTTACTTGTAAAAAAAGGCGTATACTGAATTTATGTTTGCTCCCCCATACACTGTCCTTTAATACGGCCCTGATGCATCTAAAAAGTTTCAGTTCGAGCCTGGGGTTGACCGGCTCGCCCTATGCGCATGCCTATGCACTCGACTCACACTATTCACACACAAAAACGCACACACACATGCACACCAACCACTGCTTTACTACGCAGTACGTACACATTAACTTCAACGACTCGCTTCTCATTCTAAAAAATTTGCCTATACCTACGGACAATTAAAATTCGAATGCTTGTCTACAATTCTACTTCCGTTGCATATTGAATGCACGAGTGCGTGTGTCTTGTGAAAAGGATGTTATTAACAAAAACTATTGTACAAAAATGAGTTAGTGAATAGTGAGTAAGTACCGTTTTCATTAAAAAATAAATACAATTTTTCAAATTCTAATATGGATGTGAATGTGTTCTTTAAATATTACAATAAATCAGACTATCCGTGCATTATATGGTATGCCAGTGACAACGTCTTATTATACCACTGTTAATTGTGTTGTGTAAACCTTGTTAATTGGACTTAACTCGTATTCCACCCACTATAATTTTCGTGTAGGTAAGAAAAGTGATTTACACCAAGTAATTTCAGCAATATAAAATGGAATAATGATAAGTAGGTAAATAGGACATGTTTTTACGTTTGTCACCTTTTCTGCCCTATTAGTAATTATATACCTTTCGATTACTAAATATTAAAATTACAATTAATTACAATTTAGAAACCTAATATAATAATGTAATGTTATATTCTTCAATTTTCGTTTGAAAAATGAAATCATTAAATTAAAATACAAACCATGTCTTGGGCAAAAAAATAAAGACTGGAACTTGCAAGTAAGTAATATTTACTTTATTTACCTATTTAGTTTCATTATGAAGAACATAATATAGTATGTACGAACTACATAATATACAATATATATTTATTATTTTTAAATATAGAACCTAAATGTCTGATTCGTGTGAAGAAATTCATTTAATATAATTATTAATTATGTTCTCATTTTAACATTATAATAATAATGTGAGAAGGATTTTATAATATTAATTTTACGTTTTTTAAACACAATATTAGTTTAAAAATTTTAAATATATTATAATTTTTATTTTTTGCATACAAAATGATTCCTATGTATTTTAACATACATGGATTTTGGAAAAAGCTTTTCCATAAGCCAACATAATGTAGGCTGTTGAAATAACAGTTAGAAAAAGAGCATCTATTCTTATAGATACTCTGCTGTACATTTCAGTTTAACATAAAGCTATTAGGTACATATACGATATACCAATGGTAAATATACTAAGTAGGTACACAATATGATTATAAATTGATGTTATTATAAATAATGAATCGTAAGATCGTTTGTTTATGTTTAATAAGTTGACATGTAGACTGTAGAGTCTAGGAGAATAATTATGAATAATTCATTAACAGTCTTATATTATAATTACGTTCAACTACATAAACACATAAATAATACATAAGTATATATTATTTAATGTTATTGCTTAATGCTAATACCACTGCCTAAGTAGGTAGTAGGTACACAATATGATTATAAATTGGTGTTATTATACATTTATACTCAGTAGTCGGTTGTGAAATTGTATTTGTATCTAATAGTATGATATTAAAAATTAAAATATTTTTAAATTTGGCGGCCAGTGATAATGAAATTTGTTGTTTATTGCAAGCCTAACTGATATGATATTTTCCATAAATGATAGTGATAAACCGTTTTCATTTAATTCGTCTGGTTGATTAAATGAAAAAAACCAAAAAAAATCCCAATGTTCTCAAACTGATATTTACCTTTAATTTTATTTAATATGTTATTCAAATAATAAAAACACCACGACACAGATAAAGTAGTTCCCTCTGCATTGTGTAATTTTGGTGATTCTACTATAAATACCGAGGGAGTGGTTCTAACCCTCGCAAAGCAGTTTTTTGTTATGTTGTACATTTGTAAGACCGAGTGTGTACCACAAAAGTAATAACGTGAGTATATTTACGACCTTTACATTGATTTTGAAGTTAGAAAATTATAATAGATATAATTAATCGTTTGCCCTTTGCGAATAGTATACCATATAATAGTCCCTTATACACTTATATAGACGTGTACCTATATAGGTACTACTTATTGCTATTTTTTTATTTTTCTCTAATTATATTTAGTTACAGTTTATTTTATAAGCAATTTTACTTAATGTAATAGTTTAAATCTCATTTATTATTAAGAATTAAGATAAAGACCGCTCCCCCAGCACAAGCTAGGCTTATAGGGGGAAGCGCAATGTATATAAACTTAAGTATTTTTAAAATGTATAAAATTTTCATTGTTGCAATAAATACTATTATTATTATTATTATTATTTTATAGTTATAAATTATATTTTAATTTAATAAGTTATATTAGAATATCTATCTATCTGTATTTAAGTCTTAAGAATCATGTTCCGTGAGTACTCAAAATTATTAACTCTAGAAATAAGTTGCTTACACTAATAACTAGTTATTTTTTAAATGTAATACATATACCTATTTTAAATTCCAATATCGAAATGGTCTTGTATTCGGGAAGTAGAAATTAATATAGTTTAATAATATTGTGTTCAGTGTTTAAAATTATGTGTAAGTACCTAGCTTAGTACCACCTACCTAGGAAAACATTTTGTACTCTAGTTAATATTTTTATGCATAGGTAAATCTCCATCATTACTTAGACAACTAATCAGTAATTAGTACTTACTTATTGTTTATTTGTATTGTTATAGATATTACAGATGTGCAAGACGTGGTGGATATTTTTGTACAGGGTCATTAAAAAAGTTGGGGAATGGAAAATTTATTGTTATTAATCATAATGGCCATAAAACGCAAAATATTGCCATCGTCACCATCTGTTGATATCCAACGAGTATTCTATATGGCAAGAGTGTTTCCTGTGAATCATGGAATACTGATGGCAAATTTATTTGATTACAATGAAAAGTAAGAATAATATGTATAATTATAATATGTTGTAACGTGTAAAAATCCTAAACTAAATTCTTCACTTAAGAATATTTTATTTTGAAGTTTCTATTATTGTTATAGAAAACTAAAAAAATAATAAATTACTTCTATTTTTTTATTATCTGTATTTAAGACTCATTGGTAATTTATCTATTTATTATTATTGTTACTTATCAATTAAATACTTCTTTTTAGCTTTTTTCTCAGACAAGTCGGATCAAACATAACTTCAGTCAATGGACTACCAAGACTTACTAACAATAGTCTCGAAAGTTTTCATAATGCCTTACGGAACAAATGTAACTCACCCTAACTCATGGATATTTTTAGGTAATCATATTTTATTTTGTTTTACACTTATTAACTTAACGACAACTGCTACCAACCATATTGGATTATAATATTACAGATCACCTATCTCACCTGAGTATGAGTTTCCACACTATTATGGCTCAACTACATAATAATTTACAGCCAACAAGTTACCACGGAATAAATTATAGAAATTTAAATTTTATAAAACATATGATTGCTAACAATATTCTCTTGGGCTGATATCAATGTGGCAGTTTATTCAAATAATGTCGCATACTACAGCAATATATGAACAACAGCAACGAAATTGGGCTCTGTATGCGGATAGTGAACCGCCAATAGTTGTTGAACAAGCAGAACCAGTACCAGTAACTGCAGATTTAGTACCAGTTGTTGCACTAGTATCAGTAGCTGATGATTTAGTAGCATTTGTTGCACCGGCAGAAGAAGTTGCATTAGCACTAGGTCAGGTGATTCATTTAGAACTACCTGACAACGAAATGCAGATAGTACATGGTCATGCTTACAACCTACAAGGTAGTAAATATAGCTAAAAAATATCATAATTTATATAATTTAAAAATTAAAATGGTACTTTAATTAAAAATGTTAATTCAATTATTTCTGTATAGTGTATGAATAGGAACAATAAAGGGAGTAATAGGGTCTTAAGCACCCGTCATAAACACAAATATTTTTTTATAGTATCTACTTAATACTTTATATTTTACTATAGTAAAATTTATAGATAAATTGTTAATACATATTATATAAAATATTTAATAATTTTGAGTGTATAGCAATGAAGTTGCGTAAAAAAGATTGATTGCTGTGTGTCTAATGTTAGAGGTCTAGTTGCGCCAATGTCTATTAAAACCTGGCTTCTAATAGTTTGATACTGTTACAATACTTATTGAACTTCACTTAACTTAGAAATATTCTGAATTTATTCAATCAATGTATAACAATAAACAAATAATCATTAAAATGTATGTGGGATGGTAACACTATCCTATATAGAGGCATTAAGGAAGTTTCGCGTTTACTTGCTGGGATTAAAATTCAAAATAGTGACTGATTGTGCCGCCTTTACCAAAACTTTAGAGAAAAGGGAACTAGCTACTAGAGTAGCCAGATGGGCGTTACTGATCACCGAATATGACTATGTAATTGAACATAGGGCCGGGTCGCGGATGCCTCATGTTGATTCTCTGAGTTGGTATCCTATGTGCATGGTACTACACAGTGAATTCTTAGCGCGACTGAAGATTGCTCAGCAAGATGATCCCCATATACAGCAACTCACTATAGATGATCAAACTTTCACTAAAGTTGGTGGGCTAGTATATGAGATTCGTATCGGCCAAAATTTACTAGTGGTTTCAGGCAGGATGCAGAATGAGGTCATAAGGGACGCACACAACATTGGTCACTTTGGTATAATAAAGACTGAAGCCCTGATTCAACGTGATTACTCCATTAGCGACCTGAAGAGTAAAATTGGTAAGATAGTGAATAACTGTGTCACTTGTATTTTGGCTAACCGTAAGCAAGGCAAGAAGGAGGGTTTCCTGCACAGTATAGATAAAGGTGACACACCGTTAGCTATGTGGCATATAGACTTTCTTGGCCCACTGACACCAACACCGAAGGGATACAGACACATTCTGGCTGTAATCGATGGGTTTACCAAGTTTTGTTGGTTATTCCCTACCAAAAGTGTAACGGCTCAAGAGGTCATTGAGAAATTGACAGTGATGGAGGCTACCTTTGGCAACCCCGGGAAAATAGTATCCGATAGAGGAGCTGCATTCACTTCTAAAGACTTTGGTGACTATTGCTCAGGACGAGGGATTCGCCACATTCTCATAACAACAGGCGTACCAAGGGCCAATGGTCAAGTTGAGAGACTGAATACCATCATTATAAATGTACTGACAAAGTTAAGTCTCAATAAGACTGATCAGTGGTACCATCAGGTACCGAAAGTTCAGATGGCATTAAATGGGTCATATCAGCGCTCCATAGGCATGACTCCGTTCAAATTGGTTTTTGGGGTAGAAATGAATCACCCAGAGTACCAGTCAATGAAAGAATCAGTGGAGCTTGAGTATGTCAGGTGTCACGAGGAAGGTCAAGAGGAAAACCGGCAGTATGCAAAGAAGCAGATACAAAAGGCGCAGATTCAACAGCAGCGCATGTTTAACAAATCCAGGAAGGAAGCCACAAGCTATCGCCTAGGGGATCTGGTCGCCATCAAAAGGACTCAATTCCTACCCACACCAAAGCTGTGCAAGAAGTTCTAAGGACCTTATAAGATTGTAGGACGTGAAGGTAATGAGCGTTATAAGGTACTCAAAGTGGGAACACAAGAAGGTCCTGAGCGGAGCTACTCCTGTGCAGAATACATGAAACCGTGGCGTTCCGTCGACCAGGATGAATCTGAGGAGACAAGCGGAGAAGATACAGCCTCCGAGGCGGACACTGTTCAAGGCGGGAGAGTGTGGGATGGTAACACTGATGACAGCCAGGCCGGACCAAGCCGAGGGGTGACCTATCTATCGACAGTGATGTTGTGACGGTCGACGAGTGATGGTATCGTTGTTGTGTTGTATTGTACTTGTTCAGTTCTCGTTGTTATGTTATATTGTACTTATTCAGTCCTCGTTGTTATGTTATATTAAATTGAGTGTGCTGCCCGTTAAATCTATTTATTTACATTATTCAATTACTATAATCCCACATGTATGTGTAGATAATTGGAGACATAGATACCGGAGACCAAGAGTAGAAGGACGTGCTAGAAACGGAAGATTTATTATATTTGAAACTTTTTATGGTTAACTTGAAAATGAGGATTTAAAGCCACATCAAGAAAATTAAAGTATGATAAATTAAATTAATTTTCATTGCGTAATTTTGTAAATATTTGTTAACTTGAAACATTCTTTTTTCAGTTCTTGAAGTATGTATAATTTGCTATAATGAAATTTCCACCACTACGGTAGTGCCCTGACAGCACCATTTCTGCAGAGTATGCATTGAGAAGTGGTTGCGAGAGGGTTGAAGAGTTTGTCCGCTATGCAGAACCAACATCATTATGCTACAAAAGTAATTATTTAATTTGTTTAATTGCTATGATAACTGTTTTTAATATTTTGTGTTTCAATTTTAATAGCTGATCTCACAAATAGTTAATCAGCAGAACCCAAAGGCAGCCATAGAATATGGGTAACAGGCAAAGAAAATTTTCTTTAAAAAGACTGTAATGATCATATTTTATTATTAAATATTTTTATTGTTAATTTACACAAACTATATAAGTTAGCACTGACTGTTTTCATATTATAATAATACAACTAGATAATAAAAAGGATTAAAGATAAATCAAATGATTTTTGTCAACATTTTATATTTAAATGCTTATGAAAATTTGTTGCATAATTATATGCATCTTTTTTGTTTTTTAATTGCTTTTATAACATTTTCAAGCTTATTGACTCATTGAACAAAATTTAAATGTAATTAATTAAAAAAAAAAAAACTAAAAACTACTAAATTGAAAATGTTTATAAATAACTTCAAATTGTAATATGTTTAGAAAATAATAGAATAAACTAACTTATAAAAACACCCCTAAAAATATTGCGGATTCATTTTCATCTATTTTTTTAATTTCCTTTAACATCAACAGTTAATACAAGGTTCTACATATTAAGTTACTTATGTAGAACCTTGTATTAAATTTTCAAGTTTTTTCCGCCAAAATAGTGATGACAGACACAAAAAATAATGACAAAATGAGAATACACACATCATTCATCGCTCAGAATAATTAATAAAAACATTTTTATTTATTTTCTTATGTTAAGCCAATATACGTTCTACATACATTTTTGTGTTTTCCAGAATAATATAACAGTATTAATAATTAATAAGTAATAACTGTGTACCAGGTAGCTACTACCTACCATACAAATTATTTTATTTTTTTTTGTTTCATTTTTATGAATGCATTAAATACTGTAATATTAAATTGGTACTTTGTAAATATTATCTTGTGTACTAATATAATTAATTGTCTTTGGTAGTATTATTATGATAAAATCAAATGGATTTTCTTACTTATTTCCCTATTCTGCATATTATTGACAATTTGTTATTTGTAATTTTATGAAACGCCTAGTTACCTATAGTTCAAAATATTTAGGAAATGAATGTAAAAAAAATATATTATATAATTCTTTAAAAATCACCAGATAGTATATAGAATTTCTTGTCATTTTATATAATTATTATTTTAATACCAATATTATACTCATTGTGTCTAACATTTTATATGCCGGTTGGTGCATTCAACGTTTTACACTCTTAAGTCTTATTATTTAAAAAGTATCAATGTTTTTGAAAATATATTTTTTATAGTGTTTCAAGTTAACATTTATTAAAACAATTATATTTTTTTTTATTATATTATTTTAAATTTTATACTTTTTTAAATATTACAACATGCAGTTTTAATTTCATTTTCGAAAGCACAATATTTTTCCGAGTATTTCAATACTTATAAGTCGAATTAAGAATGTGTTTAGTTTACGAATTATAAGTATTTGAAGTTTTGTTGTGTAGTAACCGCGTACTGCTATCCACTCCGCTCATCAACACTTTGATTAGTTTTAAGATATAACTCATAAACTAAAACTACTCGTCCTAAATTTGATTATTATGTATTTATATACTAATAAAAAATGTTTTGCTTTGGAATATGAAATTAAAACTGTATTTTGTCATTCAAAAAAAGTAAAAAACTTAATAAATGATAAGAGAATCAGTGACAGGCAGTTACTTTAGCCATAACATACCAATATTTATTATTGCCTTGTAATGCTATAACAATTTTTACAACTGATTTGTATTTGCTATTATGTCTACTTAAGATCGTTCAGTCAACTTTTCAAAATTTCACCCAGACACAACTATATCAGTTGGATGGAACAAAGTAGGTACATACAAATGAGCATAAATTGTTTACCGTTTACGCACGCAACGCCGTGGCAGTGACCGGTATAGGCAACCTAACCAACATGCGTGTGCGGGAACGTCACGATATTTCTTTTATACACAGTCACACACCCTTATGGCTTATGTTCACTTATTACGTACACATTTACAGGACCGCATGCGTGCAATTTGATAATTAACCATTCCAAACTCCTTAAAAACTGTCCGCCACCGATTCCCTTCATGATAAAATCAACTTACAAATATATATTTTTTAAAACTGTTATTTTATCGACTAGAAACTATATAAATTTTTTTTGAAATATAGAGTGTTCTATGATAAAATAATGGCAACATCATATCGGCGTATTATTACAAGTACTTTTTTGTAATATATTAATATTATTGTAATTTAATCAAAAATGTATACTTAAAATTATTATTAAATACATTATTTTATTTAATTGGTTCAATAATTTAAAAGGATACACGTCATAATGTCGCTATAAAAATGTCGAGGTTAAAATGTCGCGAACACAAATATGTCGCGAATACAAAAATATCGCGATGTCAAAAATATGATTAATATAATACTAATATATTATAATTAGGGTTCGGATTTATATGCAAAAATATGTTGCCAAAAATTGATTTTATAGACTACAGAGTAGTACTACGCAATACACTTACCTATTATACGTAAAACGAACACAGATTACAAACTGCTCGTCACAGTGTTCATTATCGCATTTATATTTTATATTGATATTTTAAAATTAGTTACAATGATATTATGATAAGATATCTGGTATTTCAGCCGATAAAATTGCGTCCAGAAATAATCTATATATACATATATATATACATATATACTACATATAAACAAATATTTGAAATATTTTTAATTAATTAATTACTACGCTACGGTTTTAGGCAGTGTACCTTTTTCGACTTCTACTAAAATTAGTTGCTTAGTTTTTAGATCTATAGACATTTGCTTCCTTTTCAAACTCATTTTGGTCAATCACTAACGACACCAATCACTAACGACACCAACAAAGTCAACTGACCAACTGATTGATCATTGATAGAGCAATTATTAGTTTAAACGAGAGCGATTATCGCCGAACTAGATTGCACACATACAAATGTACACATATAGAGAATACCCACAATAGAGAATATGTACATGCATAGTAGGGATAAGATAAGATATCGATAAAACTGTGTTATAAAGATTAAATTACTAACGACTAGTATACGAGTAATAAAACGAAATAAGATATATACAGATTGACATTTTTCTGTTCGTGTTAATCAACAAAACGACAATATGGTACCTAAAATTTGTTCGAGTTTCGTGTTAACCGAAATAATTCGTATAAACCGAGGAAATAAAAAAACCCCTATCTTATAGTATAGAGCCTTTCTCTGGACTGAAAAACCGGTTCGCGTTATACAATAATTTGTGTTAACCGAGTTCGTGTTAACGAGGGAGTACTGTATCGAATAATTTTATAATGTACAGTTTACACAAAAAAATAATAATAATTAAAATTTAAAAATGTTGTAATAAATAAAATAATAAATTGTATTTTTATGTCAATTGATATTGGATGTTATACGAAATTCCACGCAGGTAGTCGTTAATTGATCGATTTTCATAATCATCACATACCTATGACTTGAAGTCGAATTGCAGAATCTTTGTATTTTTTCTTTTTCGGAGGTTTGATGCCAGCAATATACTGTTCAACTTTTAGACGGTTTAAGCTTTCTTATTTTTTCAGTGAATCGATAAGAATCCAAATAGATGGATGACCAGAACTTAACATTGAACTAAAACAATTATGCCAACCCTCGACTGAATTGTTAGTTCGTGGAATATCATACTTTAATAATGCATAACAATTCCATACATTTATAAAAAAAATAAAGGGGCTCTTCTCGCTCTCCGGCAGGGTCTTCCGATCCATGTGTCTTCGGAATAGTTGATTAAACCTGATAGACTATCTTCATTTTCTCTATAAAACTCGGAATCCAACAGAGATTCAAATGCTGAAATTACATTATTTTCAGGTACATAAGCTAAGGCTGCTAGTTTTCTTAATTCGAGTGCAAAATTTGAATCGTTTGTATACCTAACTTGTAGCCCATTTGATTGTACATGTCGCCAAATAGATTGTGTTAAATGGAAAAAACACCCTTTAATGTTAATTGATGGAAAAACATATTTTGAAGCGTTCATAGCAGCTTTTTCAAAATCAAACATCATTGATTTTGGATTACGCTGTGGTTTTAAAAA